CCATGCATATATAAAATATTCCATAATTTAAAAAACCCAAAACATGAAACAGATTATAATAAAACCCTTTATCCATATAATAAGATAGTTTGAAAACAAATAAAATGAAAGAAAACATAAAATTTATTAATTCTATTTTTCATTCCACAAGTATTTATTGAGCACCTTCTGCATTCGAGACACTGCTCATGGCACTAAGGACAGAGCAGCAGACAACAAACCCCTACCTTCATGGCGTGCACCTTCTATGAAAGGATGGAAATGATAAACAAGCAAATATGAAGATATGTACTAAGTCATATGCTGATAAGTGCTGTGGAATATATAAAACAAGAAGAGGAGAAGATAGTATTAGTTAGGGTGCTCTAAATATGGTGGCCAAGGAAAAACTTTCTCATAAAGTAACATTTAAACAAAAAGCTGGAGAAGGGGCAAGCACTAGTGAGTCCTTGCAGAGAAAATAGCAAGTGCAAGTCCCTGAGGGTGTGGTGGGTTCTACAGGAGGAGGAAGGCATGGCCAGATGGGAGTGCCCAAGAGGAAGTGTAGGTCAGAGAATGGCAGGCACAGGTTGTTGTGCCTTACAGATAAATGCAAGGACTTTGGTTTTTTACCCAAATAAGATGAGAAGTAATCAGAGGTCTTTGTGAATGGCATTACTTGATCTGAAGTATATATTTAATGATCACTTCGGCTACTGTGATCAAATGTATGGGAACACACATTTAAACAGGCAAAGAACAGAAGCAGCAAAAATAGTAAGAAGGCAATTATAAGGATACAAGCAAGAGATGATGCAGTTTAGACAAGGATGAGAGGTAAGCAGATTCTGGATGATGTTTTATTTAATACTATAATGATGCAATTTAATTTAACAAATTCCAGCCTATTTGGTGGAACAGGCTAGGTGCACAAGAGTAAATAAATGATCGCTTACCCTCAAAGCACTTTTTAGATAGTGATATAGATATGTAAAGACCTAGCTATAACACAAGGCAGAATGAAGTAAATCTGAATAAAAGTGAATGATTATTTTGTGGAAGCACTCGGATGCTTTAAGAAGGATGTGGCTTGTGAATTGGCTTGAGAGTGCGGTGGATGTCTGTAGGCAGAGAATTAGAGTTAGATCATTCCAGTTGAGAAAATAGTAAGAACAATGCCCCATGTGGGGCAGCTGATCCAATCTCAGTTCATTTCTTTTATCTCTACCCAGCTTGTTAGAGTCTATCTCATGCATGTGTCGTCCAGGGATCAATCAGAGATTTCGGCAGAGTTTACATAAAAATTCCAGGGCTTCCTCTTCCAGTATCTCCCCTCACTTTCTTGTGCTTATCTCTGACTCCAAGGTGGCCCCCAAGATTTTTGTACTCCAGTGTACATGCCATGCATAATCCCCTCCCCTTGAGTGTGGGCACAACCTATGAATATGATGAGATATTACGCCCATAATTAGTTTCATCATATGGCAAAATGAAGATTATCATGAGTGGGCCTGACCTAATCAGGTGAGCCCTTTAAAAGCAGAGAATGTTCTCCAGTCGGTCACCAAGGAAGACGTCAGAGACATGAGGCTTTGCTGGCCAGGAAGAAAGTGAAGAGCCATGTTGTGGACCATAGGGATCCCTGTGGCAAGCAACCATGAGCATTCTCTAGAAGCCAAGAGTCATTCCTGGACAATGATTAGTAAGAAAACAAGGACATGAGCGATACGACCACAAGAAAATGAGTTCTTCCTGCAACCAATGAGCCTGAAAAAGGCCTCTGAGCCTCAGATGAGAATCACAGTGCCAGCTGGCACCTTGATTTCAGTTTGGTGAAACCCTAAGCAAAGCACTCAGCCAACCTGTACTGAGCTCCTGACCTGTGAAAACAGTGGGATAATAAATGAGCGTTGTTTTAAACCACTAAGTTTGCGGTAATATGTTACAAAACAATAACTAATACATTCTGGGTTTTCTTGAATTCTGTCCTCTGGTTCTCCAAGCAAGTAAACCATCAGAATTTTAACTGTTTCCCAAAATGCATATATGGTCTACCCTCAGGTTAAATTCTATAAAAAAAAAAAATAGAAAACTTACCCCATCCCCTTCCTTTCTTCTAAGTGACACCCCTCCAGGATCTACCTGCTTTCATTCACTCTCCAGTGCCTTCAGGTAGCTGTCTTTTACATTTTGTCCAGAGTTGATAGTTGTTATCTACGGGAAGTTTAATCTAATATAAGCTACTGGGACATTCCAATTCTGAATGGTAGGATCCATGTAATTTGCTGGTGGATTGGGTGCAAGTATGATAAATAGAAAAGTCAAAGATCATCCTGCGGTTTTTGGCCACTGCAAGTAGAAGGAAGCTGCTGCTATTTACTGAAATGGAAAGACTATAAATGCAACCAATTGCATGTGTGAGTTTAGAATTCAGAGGAGAGTACTGATCTAGAGATAAAAATCTGGGAGTTCTTTTTTAAAAGCATGAGGTTGAATTAACTTCTCAACAAATTTACTCTAAACAGCACAGTGAAGAGACCCAAAGACTGAGTCCTGGAGCAATCCAAAATTTAAAGATAAGAAAAGCCATAGAACAAAAAGAGGAGTCTAAGAAGAAGCCAGTGAGAGTGCAGAAAAACAAATAGAAAATGATGACCTCAAAGACAACAAAAAAAAAGTGTTTCAGGGACAAAGGAATGATTGCTTGTGTTTAATGCTATGCCAAGTGGGATGAGCATTTAGACTTAATCATTGAATTTAGCAATGAGGAAGTCTTTATAACCTTGAAAAGAGCAGTTTCAACAGAGTTATAGGAGAAAACTTGATTAGAGTGGATGGCAAATGGGAGCAGGGGAATTAGAGACAGCAAATTTAGACAACTGTAGAGCGATTTTGCTCTAAAGATGAACAGGAAATGGAGCAATAGCTTGAAGAAGAGTCAAGGGTTTTATTTTGTTGTTTGTATGTAAGATGGGAGAATGTATAGTATGTCTGTATGCTGGCAGGGATTAAACAGAAGAGAGGGAATGCCAACAATGTAAAAAAATGAAGGGAAAATTATTGCTGGAGTACACAAGTGAAGGAGTGGGCTTCAGATAGAATCAGGCAAAATTCATCCATAGAAACAAAGGTGAAGGCAGATTATGTAGGTTTGGAAGTAGGTGAGCAGGTCAATGTCATAGTGGGAGCCGGAGGTTTGATGAGAGGTGAGACGGCACAAAACAGCCATCTGGAGTGTGAGAGAGTGAGTGGGCTAAGAATAGGTAATAGGTTCTCTGGGCAGTCGCGAGGGTGCACTTGAGGTTAGGGGGTCATGATCTCGAAGTGAGACTGGACAGGATGGATTTAATCAAGGTTGCAATTTTTTCAAGTGCACAAAATGCAAGATAAGGCAACAGAGTTAAGGCTGTGTGGAAGGGAGTGATAATTGGAAATGACTGCCAGTGAGTTCTAAGGTAGGTAAAGGTGAAGTGAGAAAATGAGGTGAGTGACAGGGAAAAGATGAGATGAGCAGAAAGAATAGGGGAAATGGTAGATGATTGACAGATAGATCGATAGAATAATATCTACTTCAGAGCATATCTGAAAATGCTAACAGTAAAAAGTTTTTGTTTTTGTTATTTTTAAAGTGGTAAAATGACTTGTAAGTACCAGTGTGGTCAGAGATTGTTGGAGTCACGTTTCTAGAACTGAGCTAGAGAGAAAGGAGACGGAGCCCAGGGAGTGATGAAGACAGAAGGGTTGGATAACAGGGAGGGTTTGCAGGCATTGAAAGTGACAGGGGCAAGGGCATGACCTTGGAGCTGAGAGACTAAGAAAGATGGAAGGACAAACTCATTGGAGAAGAGGAGGCAAAGGAGCCCAGAGGACAGGCTATCGTAATGATTCTAAGAGTAGGGTTAGAGTGCATGACAGTGAGCTGGTCCTTAAAACCTGAGGGTGAGTGATTCCACACTGGGTGGCATAGCCTGACAAGCTGGTGGTATTCATTGGAGAAACAACTGGAAGTAGCAGTGACAGCAAGGAAGACAGAGGTCCTGGCTCACCCCACTGCCGTCTCCACCGACCGCCCTAGAGGTACAAGGAGTATGCGAGAGGAAACAGCTTCCACTTGAGAGGGCTCTGGGGGAAGCAGTGTCCTCAGGGGAGGGCTAGATATTAAGGGAGAAACTGTTCTTCTAAGAATCTAAATTAGTTGGTTACTGTGCCTGAATGTTAAATTAGGCTCTTCACCTCCTGGCAGTGAAAGTTTCATAAAGGGAGAAATGAGTAGGATATATAGTCCTTAGGATCTGACAAAAGGAGGTATATAATTTCTTCAAAAGAGGCCAACACTTTCTAAAATTCCAAGAATTTTTCCCATAATCATTTTTATATCTCTTGCAACTAGAACAAAATTTGAAATATAATCAGAATACAATAAATGCTTTTTTTAAAAACCAAACTCATCTGACACAGAGGTTCATCAAAGACAATATCGTTAATGGCAGTTTTTAAAAATAAAAAGCTTATCTTAAACCCTAAAATATGGCATTGTCATGAGGTTTCTGTCTTGATCTTAGTTTTGAATCTGAGATGATCTTTTCAAAAGTGAATCTATTATAATCATAAAATTAGTTTTAACAGTTCCTTTCCTACAGACACACTGTGCAGTACATTATAAGGCACAGAGATAGTTAATAGTTTTTAGTATTCACTTTTATTCTTTCATTTTGAGGAGGAGAACCTGCCATTTAAAAGCATGCAAAGCTAATTAAAGCTTTTTCACTATTTCATTATCTGAATGTAGTTGCAAATTCTGACTTAAAACTCTTATCAGAAGGAGACTCAACATCCCTCCGTGAACAGCAAATGAACATTCAATTAACACTTCAATACATGAGTATTTTAAATAAAAGTATACTTTATTGTTAATCTCATTCTTTACAAATGCAAATACCCAATTTTAAAATCCAAAGAGAGTTTCCCAGTTTCCCTCCTTTTATTCTTAGGGGAAAAAAAGTTCTTTTTTCTATTTACAGGGAAGACCCGAGTTTTCTGAAGTTGTCATGAAATTAGAAGAGTGTCTCTGCAACATTGAGGTAAAAATCTTTACCTTCTGAAATGTGTCCATAAAAGAGCCCTGAATATCCAAGGATGTCAGGGATGTAGGTGAGACAGTACTTATAAAATGTTACTAGGAGAGTCCATAACTCCATTCATATTACCCTATTCATTAAATTCCTCAGCGGGGTTGTGAGGGCGGAGGGATGGATCAGAATTGGCTGCATCTATAGGGGCAAAGGCAAATCCAAAGTGAATTTGGGCCCTTTCAACAAATAATCAGGCAGGCAATTGACACAGTCATGCTCAGCTTCAAAAACTGAGAAGTAACAATTGAAAGTATAACAATATATTAGGAAGTATTTAAATACTTTTTTTCTATACAGAAATTTCTACATATAGAGAAATGTTAAGTAAAAATGTTAAGCCATTGTCTACTTATGTTCAATAAGAAAAGGAAAAATTATCAGTAAAACACATGCATGAGTTAATTGGATGGCATGGCTTTCACACCACACATGTGCTGAATAAAGTGATATATGTTGGTAATCAGGCTAATAGGATTTTCTTCCCTTAATATCAAGGAGCCGTTTGCTTTAATTTTCTTTAAAATTGCCTTGATTTTCTATATACCTGGTCAGAAGAGAGCATTTGAAAATAGGCAAGGAAGCTAAAACATGAGCGCTAATTCAAAAGTATTATGTTCTCTAATGCAAATGAGTGTTACTGGAGGAGGAAGACAGACATCACACACATAGGATCATGTATATATCTACCTATCGAGGGAAGGGGTGACAACGGGGAAGGGACAGCATCAACCTGAGATTGCACAACTAAACCTCAGAGTGGAACCATGCAAGGAAAGTCTTCTTTCCTTAAAAAAAAAAATTCTCAACTGAAAGTTACTGGAACCTAGTTTATTGGAAGAGTTCCAGGTCTCCAGTTGCAGCCTGCAGTAAGTTGACTCTATCTTATGACTCATTCCTGGAACTTCTAAAGAGGAGGTCTCTTGTGTAGAAGAAAGCTTCAGTCTTTAGACATAAAACCTTCTTTCCCTTCTCTTAGGTCCTGAAATTTACAGAAAGTAGGGAAACCTAGTAGTAAGTTTGATGGGGCCTCAGCAGTCCCCGTGGACAAAAGCATCTGCTAGAGGCCTTGGGTGTTAAGAGATGCCTTCAAGGCTTGAATTTAAAATATCCTCTCACTTTAAACCTTTGTGTTTGACTGGCCAAGATTGCTCCTAGCCTGAGGATATATCCCCTAGATCTGGCTGTGTATTCCAGAAATAGGGACAATGGTAGGATCTGCTAAACTAGCTTACCTTGTTACAATGATCAAGCTTTGTAGTATATTCTCCCACTCAGGAAAGAGGATGAACGGGCTATATGCAAAGAGAGTTCACTGGACTGGTTGCACTAAATAATGGACCAGAGTCAGCCTAAAGGGGCTTGATTTATGGAGTTCAATAAGGCTCTATCCTCTCTACTCTTCAACTTTTCAGTCAATGGCTTAGACCAAGGTCAAGAGGGAGCTACTCCCAGCATGTACAGATAATAAAATTCAGAGGGATAGAAAACATTTGAAAGCAGGACTCTACAATATCTTGGAAGATGAAGTAACAGGACATGTCTAATAAGAATAAATTTAACAGGAATAAATACAGTGTCCTGCACCAGAGCCAAAGAAACAATAATAAAAGTATCAAATGGTTTAGAAGCACCATGAATGTTAGTGGATAACAAGCTCATTAGGATTTAGAATATGAAGTGGCTGTTTTGCTACTGAATAAAAGCATGGTCATTCTTGTCTGAGATGGCCAAACAAAATGGTACCCAGTTGTGTCTCTGATCCTTTTAAAGGAATAATTAAAACTCGGACACACGTTAGGGAAGAGAGACCAGAATGGTGAATGGATTGAAAATCATGTAACATGAGAACCAATTGGATGAACTAGGGATGCTAATCACAGAAGAGATAAAATCGGGCTGAGTCCAGTAGCTGTTTTTAAACATCTGAAGAACTATCATGTGGCAAAGGGATTGGTCTTGTTCTCTATGGGAGAACACTTGCCAGACATTAAAGCATCCTTCACCTTATTAAATGGATATATTCTTGGAAAAATGTGTAAATCTATTTTATGTGAAGGGAATTATTCCATATAAAGGGAATCATTTTAGCTATGATTTTAAAGGAACTCTGCCATGTATCATATTGCCATAGTGAAGAATCTTTTGATCATTGAATAATAACCTTCTAAATATATTTTATGAATCTGATTTGGGCCTACTGTGTTTTCAGAAAGATGAGCATATGTTTAACAAGCCAGCTTTCAGCATAGAACTGGGTCAAAAAAGTAAATTAAGCTAGCCAGGTGTTGCCATTAGAGGCTAAAAGGAAAAGCCAGAAGCAAGTTGAAATGAATAGAAATTAAAATATAAGAAATCCTAGGATAGAAAGTCAAAATAAATCTATACTCCATTCTACGCCTTTCCACCTATTGGATGTATTAAACGATTGAATCTGCCTCTCCTTCACTCAGCTGATGTCTCCTGCTTCGAGTAACAGCAGTGGGTCTCTCTCACCTTCCTCTTCTTCCGATTGCCTGGTGAGCCGGGGAGGGCCTAGCAGGAGCCATGTGGCAGCATTAAGGAGTCGTTTTGAATTGGAATATGCTCTAAATTCGAGGTCTTGTGCTGCCTGGTCCCAAAGGTAAGTGATAATTTAATTAATAGTCTCACAGTAAAACCATATTCCAGAGTCTTATCAAGACAGTCACCTGATTTGATATTACTATCAACAGGGGATTAACCACCCCTCCAGAAAACTTGAAAGAGGAGTTTTGAGACCATTTTTTCTTACAATATTATGATCAGTAACTAGAAATTTTATTCTCTGTTAGTTTAGGTCCTCAAAGTTGTAAGTCATAGCCAGTAACTCTAGCTTAAGTAAGAAATATCTATTCAAAAACAATAAAAGGAATTTATGGAATGGATTCTCAGGATATTTTATGGAATCCAAGGAAGAATTCCAGTGTTGGAACCAGGAAATAGCATTGAGGATCTGAGAACCAAAATTTTTATAGCAGCAATATTCATAATAGCCAAAAGGTGGAGACAACCTACATGTCCATCAACAGATGACTAGATAAACAGAATGTGGTATCTATACAGTAGAATATTATTTATCCATAAAAAGGAATAAAATACTGCTATACACTACAACATGGATATACCTTGAAAACATGCTAAGTGAAAGAAGCCAGACACAGAGGTCACAGAGCTTTGGCCCTGTTTATATGAATATCCAGAAGAGGTGTATTAGCTCAGGCTGCCATAACAAAATACCATAGACTGGATGGCCTTAAACAACAGAAATTTATTTTCCCACAGTTCTAGAGGCTGGAAGTCCAAGATCGGGATGCCAGCATGATTGGGTTCTGGTAAGGGCTCCTTTCCTGGCTTACAGAAATCTACCTTGTCTCTGTGTCCTCACATGGCATAAAGAGAGCCCTTGTTTCTCTTCATCTTCTTATAAGGGCCTCAGTTCTATTGCATCGGCGATCTACCCTTATGATCTCATTTAACCTTAATTATTTCCTTAAAGCCCCTTAATTACCTCCTTCAAGGCCCTGTCTCCAATACAGTGACGTGGGAGATTAAGGTTTCAATAAATGAATTTGAGGAAGGACACAATCCAGTCTACAGAAATAGGTAAATCCATGAAAACAAAAAGCAGATTGATGTTGCCAGGGGCTGGAGAGGAGGGAGAAATTGGGAGTAACTGCTTAATGGGTACCAGGTTTTATTTTGGGGTGATGAAAATATTTTAGAATTAGATAGAGGTGATCGTTATAAAACATTGTGAATGTACTAAATGCCACTGAATTGCTCATTTTAAAATGATTAATTCTGTGTTGTGTGAACTTTACCTCGATGGAAACACACAGACACACACACACACATACACACACACACACACAAAATTAAGCGAAGGGGTAAGTCAGAAAAAGAGAAAAATAATTCAACATTTTCCCATACCAAGCTCTGCCATCTACATCCTGCAGTCCCCAATAAGCAGTCTCTTTGTCTCTCAGCATAATTGTAAAAGTTTCAAGGAGAGATATATCAGTTACCTATTACTATAATAATCCTATATGATAACACATCCCAAAATACAGGGATATACAAACATAAGCATTTATTTCTTGCTTATGTGTCTGTGGACTGGTTTTGGGTAGGCTTGACTCTGAGCTACAGATTATGTCCAGATCTGCCCCACATGTCTCTTACCCTCCTTGGTGAGCAGGTAAAAGAACACACCATCTGCGGCGTGTTCTTCTCATAGACAAAGGCTAGGAACTCAAGAAAACAAGCCCAACTCACATGCGTATTTAAAGCCTTGCTCAAGTTGTGTCATCTGACATTCCACTGGTGAGTCACATGGCTAAATCCAACATCAATAGAGAGGAAAAATATACTTGATCTCTAGTGGGAAGAACACCAAGTCACGTGGCAAAAGGCATAGATATCAGATGCATGATAAATTAGGAATAAAAATGTAGTCTACTGTGAGAAAGAATGTGATTGGCCCTTTTTGGATTAAATGACCATCTCCGTCTAAGCAAATGTGGTTGGAGTGGGGATGGGGTCATATTTCATTAGCATAAACATGGCTTCCAGGGGCCTCTGTTCTGGGTGGGGAGCAAAGAAGGCAGTCACTGTGAGTTTGATAGATCCCCTGTAGAGGCGCACTTTCCAACCTGTGGAAAACCAGAAAAGACTGGTTTAAAAATCTCTCTCCTTCCACACGAACTCCAGAACATTTGCACATGGGCCCAGTTACACATGCACTCACACACACATACATACATATGCATACCCACTCACACATTCCATTAGCAAAGTAAATGTTCTTAATATCTGGAAAGTGGGAAAAATTGTCTGGAGTTAGCAAGGGTTTTACACAATCTACAAATTGTTATGGTTGCTTTTTTAGCTGTAGTTATTATTAATATATTCCTGGTCTGACAAGAGTTGCAGCTGTAGCTATGAAGAGATGAGAATCTGAATCATGATTCTTTTAATCTATGGAATGTCATAAAATTAAGTATCAGCAGGTTTGATTGATAACCAGCCAAACTGGACATAATCTTTATTGGATTTCAGTCTCTCATGTATAATAATTTCATAAGGAGCCCATAGGCCAAGATTAGATTAGGTTTGGTCACATCATCATCTTCTAGTTTCATCTAGTCTTCTTACTCTCTACTTGTAGTTTTTAAAATTATTTCTCAGAACAATCAGATTTTGATATTTCTAAAGCACAGTCACCTGAGGTTTGTTCAGTTGAGACAGGTTGAGAGAATGAGCTGTGGAATCAAACAGATCTGATGTTAAACCTTGGCTTTGCCATTTACTAGCTCAATGACCTTGGTCAAGTTATTTAAATCTTATATGTAAAATACAGATAATAATATCAGCTCTTAGGATTGTTATAAGGAGAGACACTATTGTCATAGTAGTGACAGTAATTGATTGAAGGATACCAGCAGACCCAAGCAAAGAATACAGTTCCAATAATGTCGTTAAGTCACAGAATTTATAACACAAAGACTGCTACATAGAGTGGAAGGCATGGCTGCACTCCCAGTTGGGTGAATTGGAGGTGGAGGGAACAGCTTCTCTGGCCTTCAAGAACCTAGATAGGTACTAGGTATGCCACTGCTAATTAAAAAAGAAACTGCCTGAACTGGGTGAAAAACCCATCAGGTTGTTTGAGATGCTTTCTTTGATATTCTCATTAAATTTTTTATAGCCTTCTGGCCTTTCATGACTGTTAATGGAACTCTGATAAGTGTTTGTCTATCAAGTGTAAGATTCTCTTAGGAGCCTAGCACATCCCTGTGTGTTTGTCATGCAAGTGAATTGAAGGTCAGTTTGTTAGTTGTACCATCCCTCTGGCAAGCTCAACCTTTGGACTGCTTAAAATCAACTCCAGGAATAAGTAAACCATTTAGCTAAGCTGTAATAATGTGCCAAGATAGGAATTAAGTCTATTTTATCCATTACTATATCCCTAGTATCCAGCAGTATGATTGGCATAAAGTCAATAAGTAAAAAATATTTGTTTAGTATATAAAAAATAAAGAATTAGATAAATTGGCTGAATAAATTATACTTACTGTCAACTTGGAGCTTAATCAGTGAATAGACTTTAACTATTTTCTCCATTCTTTCCATTTAAATAACTATCACTGCTGAGCATACTGGGCACTGTTTTAAACACTTTGAATAGTCATCTAATTAAGCCTTAGGAAATCAGTATTTCAATTTTTATAGTTGAAAAAACTGAGGCTCAGAAAGGGTAAGCAACTTTCTGAAGTTAATGGAAAGCAAGTAGGAGGCAGAGCTGGATTCTCACCCAGGACTCACCTGTGCTTTGTGAGTTTCTCTGGCACAGGAGGTGGCATATTCCAGAAGCTTGATATATTTTGCAAATACTTGTATTTTCTGGGGTTCTTCCAGTTCTGGAAGTAAATCTGGGAATGAATTCAGTTACTCCTCTCAAACCTACCTTTCCAGATTGTGTACATGAAGGCAAAGGAAGTGAGACCAACGATCAATAGGTTCTTAAAGTCAAAGAACCCAAGGTTACAAGAATTGATGGACTAAGTCCAGCAGGGAAAGTTTAACAGCCTGCAAGACAGTGGTTCTCAGCTTTGGCTGCACATTAGAATAACCTGGGGAACTTTTACAAGTACCAACTCCCACGATCGATTAACCCAAAATCCACAGGGGTGGCATCAAGGCATCAGAATGTGTTAGTTTCCCAGGTGATTCCAATATGCATCCAAGTACGTGAAGCTTTAGGAGAATGGTACAATGCTAACCTGCCGGCCAGTCATTCTGCAGGAAGAGGACGCAACTGATGGGATAAATGGAAGAGGAAAGTGAAAGCCAAGGTGAAATAGCAGCTCTGACCAATGGGGAACGTTATGAAGGCTGATTACCTGCATGGTCTCTCCCAGAAGTCCTTGCAATGTACCAGTAACTTCTGATCTTTGAGCTTCCTAACCATCTCTCATTCAAGTTACACAGCTAAAGTATAATTTTTAGTATGGAATTATGATTTTGAAAAATGGGTACGAGATCTGCCCTGTAATTCCTACTAATGTATGGACATGGGACCCCCTCAACAATGTCTTGAAAATGGTGCATTTATTTTTCAATTTTTGATGATAAAGTTCACAGCCTGTAGTTTGGAATTTTGTAATACTTGATTTGATATGGTTTTTGGTTGTTTGTATATTTGTTTCTAATAATTATTATTTTTCTTCATAAAATAAATTTAGAGATGGGAAATTATGTCAGAGATTTTCTCTACAGATAATAGGAATTCGCTATTTCCTACTGAAATGACAAAATGATAAAATCTGAGATTGAGAAAGGCACTCTTGAAGTTCTGCCTCTTTTAAAATATTTTGTGTTTCTAGATATATTTGGAAAACCAAGCATGTGGCACTTGCTCCTCCCACAGGGTATGAAATCTCCCATCTTGTGCATGGATTACATCACGTAAATTTAGAAATGACAAAGTGATACACAACCTTTCAGATGTGAAAACCAATTAGTGTTTGTGTGGGGCTTGGCTCTGAGAATAGAATGTTATGACCTAGTTAGCCGTCCAGGAGAAGAAAACCAGGGACCCAG